AAGACAGAAGTGATCGGGCACCCGCCAAGTACTGTCGATGAATGTGCATTTCTGGACTCGTTGTTCCTAGCGTTATGATGCCCATTCAGCCACAGAACAGCATCCGCGAAAATCGCAGAATGGCTGCAAAAATGGAGGTGTGAAACCCAATGTCCATTTCAGTGGAGTATCAGACATGAGGTGTTAATCGAACGTGGAGAATGCATCCACTTTATCAGGAGGTCTTAGCGAACGTGGACTATGCAGCCATTTGTTCAGGAGGCATTAGGCCACAGACATGATTGCTGGTAGCAGGGAGCGACGATGAATGGGAAGCCTGGCTTGTGAGCCGTGACCAGAGTGTCCTTCCTCCTCCCTCTCCCCTTTTATGGGGAAGCTGCAAAAAGGACGTAGGAGTGTCCGTTTCCGGACCCCACCCAACATCCATTTTACATCCATTCGTCGAGGGGAAAAATGGATGTAAAATGGATGTTTCAGAATGGATGTTGATCCCCCTGGAAAAAATGGGTGTAAAATGGATGCGGGTTTCATACCTGCCCGGAAAATGGATGTCCAATTGGATGCGGCCTTCACACTTCCCCAGGCCAAAATGAGCTGCTTTGTTTGGGTTTGGGACGATGTATGCCTACTCAACGCGGAAATAATTGCAGGGCCGCTCATGCGAAACCCACATTCGCAAAGCAGAAAAAGGAACACCGTGGCCACATTCAGTTTGCACTCCATTTCCAGTTTAGAGTGTTATTGGATGTTTGTTCGTTTAGGAATCATTTACAACATCCATTTCTATACTCCCAGATCCATTTCCCTAACCTAGCCTCTAGCCAGAATGGGCACCTTAATCCTAGCGAATTGCAAGGTGTATTTCAAGGCTCGGAGCTACACGAAACAGCTTGAAAGCTCGTGGCCCAGTTCTTTGCTATGCTTGACGGTGTGATTGTACGCGAAAACAGACGCATTAGGTGGTCAGATCGGTAATTTGCTCGAGCAAACTGATGCAAAGATGGCCGCTTGAACCTCGGAAGTTCCACACTTTGACATAATGTGGCGGCCAGCTAGCCAGAGGCCATCACAGCGTCGGTGATGGGGCGCGCGTTCGCGCCTAAGAGCAACAGAAGAGGAGCCATTGTGGAAAGCGATGCGGTCCCCGCAAGGTCGAAAGGCTTGCCTCCAGCAACTCCCGAAGTCGTTGAGAGTGGCAGACCCACGTCTTTCGATTTTTGATCGTGTCTGGCTATACCTCGGCACGTTAGGTCTGGCAAGGGTTCTCGGCGTAGACAGCACGAAGGACCTTGTCTTCCACCGGTGCAAATCCGAACATCCCAGTGCGAAGTGGGACATCAATGCAACACTAATGCAACACGGCAAGCGACTTGTTGCATCCTCGCATCGTGCCGCCACAGGAGTTCTTTCTGTTCCGGGTCGTGAAGCAGACCATTGAGGCCACAGAACATGAAGCATGCCTGGTCTCTTTTTCATACGGCATTCCAGTGTCCATCATTCGTCCAATCCAGAATTCAATAACGACGCCCAGGCTTACGTAGAAAAGAAGCTGGACTTGAGCAGCATCGTTCAGGACATGTGTGCAGAATCTCTAGGGCTTGGGCACACAGCCACTGGGGACTTCTGCGCTCAGAGCCATCTTTGCAGCATTCAGCATGTACAGTTTCAGGATCTGAAGGATCCGATTGAGTTTCTGCGTCAGATACGCAAGAAGCAAAATCAGGCGGGAGACGTTTCATCAAAGCGGGTGTATTTCGTTAACGAGGCAATCCGTGCACAATGTCTAATGCGACCAGGTTGATGTCATAAGAAAGCCCACGACAGTGGTAATGTGTCTTGGCAACACGATCAGATGATTCGAGTTTCGTTGACTTGCAGTGGCTTCCTCACCCTGCAAACCAGGTGTCAAGAATGCGAAAACCGAGCTGCCGTGTTAAAGTGCGAGCAATGCAAAGACTTCTTCTGTCAGGCCAAGATGTTTTCAGCTCACTCCGTGATACTTCCGTCGCTTTTACACACTGCATGTTGGGAGGATTGCTTCAACAGCACGCATGCTACTGGCAAGCGACGGGCACACATCACATCCGATGTCGAGCAGCTGGTGTGCACAGAGCTAAGTCATTGCTCATCCTTGCTCCGTGGGCTGGAGCTCTGGACTGTATGCAGATGTCGCCCCGACCAGGTGCTGCTTTCGAAGATCGTGTCGCTACATGCCAATGCGTTGGGGTTCTGAGCTGTCGGATTGGTGGAGAAGTGCCATCCAAAGACATTGATTGGTCCATCAACGTCTCTGCCACGAGGTGCAGTGTGGTCTTTTTTATTCCGATGAAGGTTTCATGCGGCGACCCTAGTGCCAGAGACGGTCGGAGCCTGGTCGCCAGCATTGCAAGGGAGCAGCTGTCATCTGGACTGTCTCCTGAGGCATGTGCATGCCTGGGATGCTGCTCGTCCAGACTTGCGCGACGCCAAGCGCACGATCTGTGGTGCAGCGAGCAAAATGCTTGCGTCCGCATGTGTGCTAGGAGAAACCACTTGAAGCGTGTCATCAACGGTTTGGTCTGCCTTGAGTGCGAGCACTACAACGCTTCCGTGCTTTGTGAGGCACTTCGCTTGCTGCCATGATCAGATGTTCATGGAGTTGCATCGAAGCCACACGACATTACGGGAGCATGGAATCTGAAGCGCTGTATTTTGAGGGGCCCGAAGCATGTTGGAAGACATCACATGACGACAATGGTTCTGTGGTTTAACAAGACATCAGTTCTTGGCCTTTGTTTATCTCACTTCTGCTGCTGTTTACTGTTTACTAACTGTCGGAAGAGGACGCTGCTTTGGTTCGGCTAGCTTCCTCGATACCTTACTGTAAAATGTGCTGAAATCACAAAGCTAGGGCCGCAAAGTACGGAAAAGTGCAACATCAGATACCCCACCATTGCCAAGTAGTAGTTTTGATGTAGCAGTAGTAGTAGTCGTAGTAGTAGTAGTAGTAGTAGTAGTAGTAGTAGTAGTTAGTAGTCGTAGTCGTAGTCGTAGTCGTAGTCGTAGTCGTAGTCGTAGTCGTAGTCGTAGTCGTGGTCGTGGTCGTGGTCGTGGTCGTGGTCGTGGTTGTGGTCGCAGTTGTAGTAGTAGTAGTAGTAGTAGTAGTAGTAGTAGTATCACCATACTCGCTGCGGACGGCAGAGAAAGCTTGACTATACAACGCAAAGAGTTGAAGCGGAGAGTATCAATTTTCTTTCAATCGCGACTATCTTCCAGCTGGCGTGCAGAGCTGAAGGTGGGGGTGTGGACGGACAGCGAAGCGTTGTCAGTTCGGAAGGTTGCACCTATAACAGCTATGACACCTACTCAGCCACATGTACAAGCAACACCTACTCTACGACTCCGGCTCCCGGGCCGTATGGTGGCACTTCATGTGAAGGTTTCGTATAACCGCAACGCCTGTGGCTCGAGAATGCCGGCTAAAACAAACAAAGCTCATCCTTCATTTCGGCCAAGCCACAACGTCAAGTTCTCCCGTTTCGTGCAAACACACAGTTCAGACACGTTCCAGCATCAGTGCGTCGCAGTACCTGCTTGGAGGTAGTTTGGGATATATTTACGTGAAGCGAATTTCTGCCTTCCAGAACTATAAGAACATCATTATCAAACTCAAGGTGAGGTGAGCAACGTATCGAGACTAAATCTTCGCGAACAGTAGGAATAATCGTCGTCGTCGTGTTTCTTGTTCCCGTTCCCGTGCTTGTTTTTGTTCTTGCACGAGGAGCAACAGGAGCATGAAAGCACAATAGTCCAAGATAAAAAACCGTGAGATACGAGACAACATGACCAGGGTCAAATCGGGTTTAGCCAGCAAAGGTATCCATAGCAAACAGCCAACAACAGGACTGCGTCGACCTCTTCTGCACCGAGTGCTTCATCAGGCTGCATCGCAAAGGGAAACGCGGTTGCCTCAGAATTCCATCGCATCCCATTGCAAGGCTTGCATCTTGAGAAGGCGAAGCCTGACCGGTCAAAGGTCTTAGCTGGTTCCAATCGACGTCGACCTATGTAGGTGATCCTTTTCCTGCCATAGAAATTTCTCCAAGTGCTCGTCGGCAGTAGAGGTGCCGCTGTGCCATTCATTTGCTGAGGACGTCAGCATGTGCACCTGACAATCGCCTCCCAGATGCAAGCAGTTTTTGGGAGTGCGAGTAGGCCACATTGCGAAGTGCATGAGGACAACACTGGGCAAATTTTTCGGGGTGGCTTCCTTGTACCTCCAGAAGAAGCACAGGCATTCTTGCTCTTGAGCATGTCATTTGAGTAGAACAAGCCTTACAGAATGCTGCTAGCGCCTTGAGCAGGTGCTTACAGACAGAGCACGATCGACTGTCAAAGCCTCATTGCCTTTTCAAGCCAATGCAATGTCTTGCGACCTCTTCAGGAACTTTCTGTTCAACATGCGTTGGCCATTAAGCAGCAGTGAAGGTGGAAACTGGCCCGTGGGTACCTTTTCGCGATGATGAACTCAATGTGTATTGGCAGCTCTCCCAGCTTGAGCATGCATTAAATTGCTGTTGCAGGTTCTTAAACGGTTCTTCGCGTTTCTAGTCTTCGTGTTGGCAGTCTGGTGATGTGTGTGCGTGAGGTATCATCTGGTTGAGAAGAGGCCCGCTTCCAGATTTTGCCTGGGAAGGCCAGGCCAGATGCGTCACACCAAATCGGCACCTGTCTCGAAGGTCCGTGTCGCAGAGTCCCGTGGACCCCGTGACAGGCTGGGAATTTGGAGACTGACACTCCAGCTCTTCTTTCTATTCTGGGTCCACGGCGTGTGAGGTGTGGATGCCGCCGTCGGAGTCGATCCGTTGCCCGATGAGGAAGGATGAGCTTATCAACCCTTGGAGGATGCATCGTCTCTTTCCGGTTTGTTAGCCCAAATCTGGCCTGCTATATTGCCGACATGCGCTTCTGTTTCACTTGTTCTCACCGGCATGCAGTTTCACCGACAGAGATTCTATCGCATGATGTCATGAGGAAATGTCGATGGCATTGATGGGATTTGCTCAGCTGCAACATATACCCTGCACTCGCTCCCACATGATGGTCTTCCGTGTGAGCACATGACGTATCTTACCGTCAAGCCCACGCCTTAGCCGCTCGGCCGACGACATGTCTTCTGCGACGGCTTCGGAAACATTGAAAGCTGGCGATCCTGGTTCCCCTCACTTTCAAAACTCGTCTCGTAATGGTACCAAGGCCAATCGAAGTTGATTTTGCCCACGGGAGTTAGACCTGACACGATCACAACCTAGCAAGGCAGGGATCGTCGCTCGTCCAGTTCATCAGGTTGTTGTGCTTAGGGACCCCAAACGGAGGTAAGCATAAGCATTTTACGGGTATATCAGATATCCCTACCTTATTGGGCTTCATGATAAGGGGGTTTGTATGGGATATCCTCATCCTCGTTTTTTCCTTTATGCTGTTTTTGGGCCCTATATGTATGCTTCTGATTGTTATGACAGTGATTCTGATCATGATGGTCATTGAAATTGTGTTTCTGCTGTTGAGCGACAGTGATGAAGACGATGCTTATTGTCATCACTTTTTCTTTTGTGCATACGAAACTAGTGGCTTGCGTTGAGTTCCCTTGTGCGTTTCCTTACATGTCCTGCCCGGCCCACGAGGTCGAGTAGCTGATTAGGTTTCTTCGGGCAGGGATGGTGGAAAGTGAAGCGTGGCAAGTTCAGGCTTGGAGGATCTTGGGATGTTGGGGAGGGAGAGAGAGAGAGAGAGAGATAACGAACAAGTGTGAGCCCACAGATGAGGCGGGGGGTGAACTAGGGGTTGTAGGGGGCTTCGAAGTAGCTTCAAGGCGATCTGGATTGTCGGAGGTGAGGGGTGCCGAGCGATGAATACTGTATAAACTGGCCAGCACGAGTTAATGGAATGCTTGGTATTAAGACTGTATGTGTATGATTTTCAGCCGAATGAATGAACTAGCAATGTCCAACTACAGGGTGCCCGCGCCCTGCGCGGCCACCGGGCGGGAAGCACATGGGGAGTTGATAATGCTGCTTTTGCATTGTAATTTACAGTACACACGTGCTTGATGGAAGAAGTGGTTTTTAAGGGCGTGGATTTCCAAAATTACTTGGGGATTATTTTGTGGTGTCGCAACAGCAAAGAAGCGGAATGGCAATGATGCATGCAGCTCTGAGAATGTTTTGGCACTGAAGCTCCCCTTGCTTCTCTATGCCTCCTTGCCACAAAGCTCAGACATTGTGCTGAGGAATGCGGAGGGCTATAAGTTTGCAACACGAATGTCTGCACAGAAACTTCTGCATCTTTATATTGTAGGCGTGGTGAAGCTCAAGGCAACTACAAGCTTGCAACACTAACATCCACACTGTAAATTCTTTGCCTCTGTACTGTGCGCATGGTGAACTTTAAGGAAAAGTTTGTAACGCGAACGTCCACCATATTTTTGCATCTCTGTACTGTATCGTTGTAAATTGCAAAGAAACGATAAGATTGTCACGCGAACATCAACCCTGAAATTCTTGTATCCTCGTAATGTGGGTTTTGTGAATTTAAAGGCAACTATAAGTTTGTAACACGAACGTCACCCCAGAAATTGCTGTACCTTTATAGTGTATGTGTTGTGAGCTTTAAAGACACAAGTATGTAATGCGAACGTCTGCCTGATTTCTGTATCTTTGTATGGTAGATATTGCGAGTTTTAAGGACACTATAAATTTGTAACCCGAACGTCCACCCTGTATTTTTTGTATCTTAATTTATATTTTATGTGTTGTGAACGTTAAGTACCATAAGTTTGTAGTGGGAGGATGCCGAACACAAGACACTCAACTCAAATCCGAACCCATCTTTGGTGCCTGGCCCCTTCGACCTTTTTTCTAGGCACTAGGCACTCCACGCTGCCACCCCGCGATCGTCTCCACTCCTCCCATTTTCGTGTTCTCCCACTCACAAGAAAATTAATGGTATTATTATAAATTAATTTCTATGATGGAATTGTTATTTTTCATAAGTAGTATATTTAAAATACGAAAATTTATTTTGAATAATTATGATTGCTTGCTTACAAATAAATAAATAAATTTAAAATATGATTTTGCATTATCTCCCTGCCTTCCCCCACCCCCCCTCCCCCCTGCGTAGTGCAGTGCGGGGTCCGTCTTCCCTTGTCGTGAGGTTGTCGGGTTGTGCGCTTTCGGGTTTGACTGAAGCTTTTGAGTTTGGGGTTTAGGATTTTGAAATTAGAATGTATAAGGTTTCATCGATAGTGGTTTTGGAACGGTTTGGGGTGTAGGTTGGATGGGGGTTGACGGTTTATATTCAGTTTTAAGAGTAGAGTCTGTATGTAGACAGGGTCCAGGGTTGGCTGTAGGCAGTAAAGTGCAGGCTGAGCAAGCAAGCCGCGTCTGTAAATCCCGGACCCTTTTGTATCCAAACACCTTTGGACCCCTTTGAACACGCCGCCCTACTCCCCCTTGCACCGTCCGCTGAAATTGATCGTGGCTGTCCGGCTTCATTGATCCAGAACGTGATTGACAAATTGCCCGGCATATTTTGATGTATTCTTATTTGCAACGTTTTCTTATAAAAAAATTCAAAAAAGCAAATACGAAATATATTTGTTTGTTTATAAAGATGATTTGAATTTGAATTTAAATAAATTTCTATTACCGATGGATATCAGATATATTCTGTAAAACAAAAAATAAAAAAAATAGAATTGTACAAGAAAATTAATGATATTATTGAAAATTAATTTCTATGATGGAATTGTTATTTTTCATAAATAATATGTTTAACCTTTAAAAATTTATTCTGAATAATTATGATTATTTTCTTATAGACAAATAAATAAATTGAAATATGGTTTTGTGTTGAAATCAAAAACTTAAATATATATTTCTTTTTTATATATAGATTTGATCAAATTCAAAGTAATATATAAAACTGACTGATAAATTTGGACCAGTAATATTATGATATACAAATTGAATTTGAACTTTTATATGAAATTTAAAGGAAAAATAATTACTTTCGATGCCGAAACAGAAAATTTTTGAAATAAATGATTTATCTATTTTAATAAATTTGTCATGACATTTCAAAAAATATTTTTTTAATTGTTTAAAAGCGAAGGTCGAGAAGTCACTACAAAGAGGTGCTTTTTGCACTGGGGGTTCAGGAAGGCAACACTACTGCTTCCTGCCGTCTCTGCTGGTTTTCCATACGGTGCCGTTTAGTTATCAAACTGAAGATGTGAAGAAAAAAGCAATACCATTTCCGGCTCCGGCGGACCTGGGCTGAGGGTGTGTTTGCGTGTGGGAGGGCCTGGGTGACGAAAGAATGAACTGAAAACCGAGGTAAATTCCCACGCCTTTCTCTAGGTTTGCTTTTGTTTGCTTGTTGTGGTTTGTTGCGGGTTCCTACTACTGCTTTTCCATACGGTGCCGTTCAATTATTAAAGTAAAGATATGAGGAAAAAAAGAATAGCGCTGATGCTTCAGCCAAGGGTTTGAATATTCGTAGCAGCTTCGTCAGCATTTGTGGGAATTGAGCACGCTTTCCGGCTCCGATCCCAGGTCCGCGCGGAGGGTGTGTTTGCCTGTGGGTAGGCCTGGGTGACGCAAGAATGAAATGAAAAACTGCGGGTAAAGCACAACATCCATACAGGCAATGCTGCACAAGCCTTTCAGCGTCGGACACATCCAGACTTGACAAAAGCGGTTTCAAAAAGTTTCATGAAATTTGCTTGTCTGCAAGAGTCTTCTGTGGCCAGCAAGCAAGAACGGGCAACACCGCGAGCTACACGTGTCGGGCATGGATTTTTCCAGCCTTGCGGGGAGCGGTATCGCAACCCTGTTCAACAAGTTTCATGAAATTTGGTTTGCATGACTACGCAGAAACGATATTTGCGGGATTGTTCGTTGTCCGATGGGACGCCGGCTGCTTTGCGGAATTCGCCGCTTATGTGGCAGTCGAGGACGAGGGTTTTTTTCCACGTCTGTTGCTTTTCTTGCGGTTTTCAATTCATTCTTTCGTCACCCAAGCCTAACCACAGGCAAACACAGCCTTAGCGCGGACCTGGAATTTATGCCCGAAAGCCTGCTCAGCTTTCAAATGGTGACGAAGCTCCTACGAATTGGCTGAAGCAGGAGCGCCATTCCTTTTTCCTTTTATCTTGACTTCAGTAGCATAACGGCACCGTCTGGAAGCAGTAGTCAGGAACCCGCAACAAACCACAACAAGCATTTGGAAAACAACAGAAAACCTACAGGAAATCCTGGGGAACCGATAGGGACAAAAAAAATTCGTTTTTTGTCTCAGAAAATTTTTCCTTGGCCGTTTTGTTCTCCCTCTTCCGTGCTTAATATTGTCACGTCGGGAAATGTGCAAAAATTCAACTTTGCCCTTTCATCATTTTGTTTTTTACACGATACTCATTCATTACCAAAAAAACGCCAAGCCGCAGTATGAAGTCAAGATCTGGTTGCCAAGTTGAGATCTTTTTTGACAAGAAAAAGCAAGGTGGAGTTTAAAAAAATATCCGGGCTTGGAGATTCAATAGCCCTGCAAGCTTGGCCACAGCCGTGCAAGCCTGCAACAAACTAGCCAAGAGATAAGCGTTGCCAGAGCTTTGCATGTGGACGATTGCTTTTACAGGATGGCTATCCGTGCAAAAGCACTTAATGCAAAAAGCGATAAGCACATCCCTTTGCATGAGCATACCTTGACTGCAAGAGTCTTCTGTGGCCAGAAGCAAGAACGGGCAACGTCGCGAGCCACACGTGTCGGGCAACATATCCAGACTTGCCAAGAGCGGTTACGATGCAGAAGCCACGTTTGCGGG